TATCTACATTGTGTTTCTATCTGTGCTTTTCCTGTGTTAATATGTAACTGTATGACTTCCTGACTAGGTTTATTATCCCTCGATCGTGTTCTTGCAATAATAGAACAAAACAGTCAGCCATTTGTGTTTGTCCTGTTTATTGCCTTAGATAATATACTGTTTGTTTTTTAATTCATTGCATGCGTGCCTCTGTAGTTGTTGTCAGTTGTGTTTTGTGCCAAAAATTAAATCCAATAATTTAATTGCTACAATGAATTAAAAATTGTTGTTTTATGTTTAGAATGTTAAAGTGACCACCACCCCAAACGGGGAACAACAGCCAGACGTATTTGCTTTAAACTATGTTCAAGTTTTAATACAGTGATATGAAAATAAATGTCTCTTTTGTACAAATTTTGTGTTATTCATATTAGGAAAACTTCGTCATCCTCAGAATATCAGTATCCAACCCAAACTTTTTGGACTCAGGTACATAAAATGTATTCTTTTTATTATCTGTGTGGCTGTACCACCTGACCAAAGTTGTTCTTCTCGTAGCAATCCTCCAAGACACACACAGTGTGTGCGGTGCAAATCAAAGGCAGAGTGCCTTCACAGGCCCACGTATGCTCGTTTCACCGGCAGCGAGCAGGCGACAAACAAGGCCAAGTTAAACAGGATGGTCAAATGTGGATGGGGAAAGAACAAGGCTCTGTGAAAATTAACAACTATAATGGTGTACTGTGAAAATTAACAACTATAATGGTGTACTTGCAGAAAGTGAACCTCCACCAAAGCCAATGATCTATTCATCTTATGGTTATCTTGCTAACAAACTGTGGAGAAAACATCTATCTTTGAAGTAATAACGTATATGCACTCGGCCTCCAGGAAGATTCTACTGGTTTACCGAATGTCCAAAGGCTTCTATCAATCCATTTCTATAGAAGTTGTTCTCATTAGGATCGCGGCTGACTGAGCCTTTCTCGAGCAGAATTTTGACAGGAGGCGGGGTACCCCCAGAACTGATCGCCAGCAACCACAACTCACAGTCACACAACTATGAACAATTCAGAGTCTTCAATCAACTTAGCACGCATGTCTCTGGCAGGCAGGAGGTACTTTGGTATACAGTGGTCCCTTGCTATACTGCGCTTCACCTTTCGTGGACTTGCTCTATTGCAGATTTTTTTTTTCAAGGGCAATTTTGCATGCTCGTTTTTAATATCTTACATCCTCTATTGTGTCTTAATTGACTTCCGGTACTTGTTACCGCCTAATTCTGCATGATGTTTTTATACAGCGTACAATCACGCATTGTATTCTCCATCCTAATTGACTATGGTATAGGACAGGGGTCCCCAACCTTTTTTGCCCCACGGACCGGTTTATGTCAGACAATATTTTCAGGGACCGGCATATCAGGTGTGGCGGAAATAATACAACAAAATAATATGGTATGAGCTGCATGAAAACTGTGGTGTTTTCGAAATATAATAATAAACACAAGGAGCGTCTAATCTGGCCGCAACACTCTGATCGCTATGGTAATGTTTAATCCTTCAAAATACGATACAACGCAAATTCAAAGTGCATGAAAATGACCACTCACCACAGCCCCGAGCTTGATTTTCTGCAACCAGACGGTCCCATCTCGGGGTAATAGGAGACAATGACACCTCAAGTGTGTGTTTTGCGTCAAGTCTACTTCGTAATTTTGTTTTAGTCGCCGTTGCTGCAGAAAAGCCCCGCCTCACACAGGTAGCATGTCGGAAATAGCAACAGTCCTACTGTGGTGATCTCAGAATATTCAGCCATAACTTTAATCCAGTTGTTTCGAACGTACTTTTAAGGCCGCTGTCATTTGATCTCCAGCAGTTTTTTTACTCATTTTGCGAGCTCTGGTGTTTTGTTTTTAAGCGGAATCGGTCACGTGACGGGGGAAAGCGTGGCTTGACGTGTGTCAAGCGTGACACAGACGGATGTAACGGAGAATCCGGTAATTTTTCAAAATAAAACATCTTTCGTATTCCGAAATAAAACGGAATTAAGGCAAGTTCTTTCTGTGCGGCCCGGTACCAAATGCCCTGCGGACCGGTACCGGTCCGCGGACCGGCGGTTGGGGACCCCTGGTATAGGAGACAAATCTGAATCCATCTCCTCCGTGCCGTGTTTCCTGTACGAAAACGAGTAATAATATCCATCCATTATCTGAACCTCTTATCCTCACGAGGGTCGCGGTACACTTGTTTTTCTTGCAAAGGTTTTAACTTTGTGTTTAAACAAGAGAAAAATAAATGTGAGTGAATGTTAAATGTGAGACAGCCTTAAAACACATAATTGTTTAAAAAAAAAAGTTTCCTTCTTCAGGGACTTCACCTATCGCGAGTTATTTTTTTGGAACATAACCCCGTGACAAACGTGGGACCACTGTGGCTGGAGAAACCCCAAGAAACAATGGGTTCAGCATGCTCCACACAGGAAGGCTGGAGCTGAGATTTGAGCCTCCAACTTCAGACCCACAGCAGATGTGCTATTCACTAGTTCAGCGTGCTGCCCCGAACGTCTTCCACTCGCAACAAATGTCAGACACCAGGTTTACGAGACAACTAAAGCGGCACTGCAGAGCATGCAACTGCACCAAAACTGGTACAACACTTCAACTGATTTGGGAAAAAAAATACAGAGCAGATCTGACTCAACACTGAAAGATAGTACATTGAAGCTGATTCAAATTTAGAAAAGTAATCTTTGATACAGCCCTCTACTAAGTCGACATAACCACAATGATAGGGTGGCGTCAACCACCGTATTATTTTTATAGAGGATGCCACGTTTAACGAATGAAACATCCAGTATTTGGTGTATGGAGCATATAGTTGGGTTTCCACGTGACAATCAGGTTGGTGTATCCAGCATATTAAAAATGAAGTCATAAGGATATATTTGACTCCACCTTAACTTTGTCCCTTACACTGTACAGATCCTGCGCCTGTCATGCCTGCTGCTATCTGTCTGAAAAAGGACACAGAGGTCCTACTAAATGAGTTCCTGTAGTGTTTTTGTCACAGTAACCCCTCATTTCATCTGTTGCCAGGGCAACTCCACGTTCCTTCGTAGTTGCTAAGGCGACCACAGGTTGCTGTGACCCGCATATTTCCACAAAATAGTTCCTCCCAAATCCAGAGAGGGGCATTGGAGGGCGACGAGGCGTTTTCCACAAACTCTACTAACATGCACACTCCTAAAAGAAAGAATTGTTCAAAAGGTCCATCAGATTAAACGCATCGGCGTCTCCGAGAGACATCAATATCAGAGATGTTTGGACCTAGGCCATGTAGCTCTTGGGTGTATTTAGTCTGCCTTACAGTGTCTGGTACCGCAATTGTGTCTTCGCTCTGATAAAAGTTTCCAAGGCCACAGAAACCTGTTACTCCTCACATTGACCACAGTGGGAAACAAAAAGCATACACACACGGCATTAACATGAACCAGAGCAGGCAGAACTACAGGAAAAGGCCAGACTGGACTTTTTCTTGGGTTATATGCAACTCTTCACCTTCTCATCCAGTATGAGAGTTTTGATCCTGAGCAATGAAATTATCCAAAGCATGACAGACTTCACTTCAGGACCTTGAGAAGGAGGTTGCCAAACCTTAACCTCCTCGAAGGCCTCACACGAATACTGGTGTGATTGGTGAAAAGCACAAAATAATCCTACCATTGGATTAGTTTGGTAGCTGGATTTTCACTGGGGACTTCACTGACTTAATCCAAAATAGAAACCATCAATACTAGGCAAAAATGCTAAATACCAACACGCAATTGTGCTACGTGCATCAACTGGAGAGTTTCAGAACCAATATGTATTTAATAAGGTACCAAAAGCATAACAAATGTCATGAAGCATTCATCATAATCACCAAAGATGTTGATTATGAAATGTATTTACGTATAGGTCGCTACAGACGTATTTTGCTAGCCAAACTCTTTTTTGCTGAGACCAACCTATCGGAGGATGGAAATAATGTCATTTTGTATGTGAGCTGAATTTGAAACCTTATTGTTTAAAGAAACAGTGGTAATAGTTAAAGTCACTATACAATGGTCAGCATTGCGTTATTAAGAATTGCACTGTTTGAGGCAGGGCACGCCCCACAGTACCGTAATATTTTTTCGGGCAGCAAAAGAAGTACTGTAACTGACTTCAGTGTGGCAGCGTTATTACGAATTCCACTAACCCTAACCCACCATGACTCCAACCATAATAAACGTGATTGTTTTTATTTTGTACACGAGATACATATTTGGGCATGTGGTTACATGGACACAGCCTGCCCTTGCCACAAAGTAGCAGGCAAATTGCAGCAGGGTGTGTGCCCTGCCTTGAATTCCAGTGGCATTCATAACGCACCAGCGCTACTGATTCTGAAGGCCCTCAACAGATTACAGTAGATTGACATGGCAGCACAAAGAGGCTTGAAATCTGATCCGGCACGCCCCCCCCCCCCCCCCCCCCCCCCCCCCAAATACAACATCCACATCCCATACACATATTGAAAGATTGAAAGTAGTGCAGCCAAGAGAAACTGTGCAAAATGAGAATAGACTACCTGGAATATATTAATACAGTGTCAAGGAATATTGATTAGGATTTCGGTTATAAATGTGGGTCAGTGCTTCTGATTGTGTTAAGGCCAGCAGAGAAGGCCTTCCTATGACAGTGATTTCTCTGGACCACATGAGCCCCCACGCTGTGCTATCTGGGAGGGTTTCTGAAATCTTATTAAAATAAACAAACTCAAGAATATTATTATATATTACTTGACACCAGTAGGTCTTTGGTTGACGATGGGGCTCCGTACCTAAAACACAGATGTAACCCGATTTCCCGACTATGGAATACGATCGTTATCTCGATCAGTATCCTACACTAATCATTTAAAAATGGTCAAGCACTGAAATAAATAAATAATCAAATAAAAATTTGTAACAGAAACAAAAATGTAAAAAGTCCTTACCTTCATGTTTGCCCACCGGTAGCGAGGAGAGCCTACAGTTCGGGAGAAAAATATTCGACCACATTGTTTTCTTCAATTTCTTGCTCACTTTAATGCCTGATACCACCAGGTGTGACTAAAGGACATACAACATGACGTGCGTAAAACTAGTTTTTTTGGCAGCGCAATACCATAGATACTAATGTGAAAATTACGATTTTGGTCATTACCACGAAAATCATGACAAATGGCGAGATATCCATTTTTTTTTTTTTTTTTTTATTGAACACGCATCATTGATTTTGACATCATATCGTCCAAACAAACGTACCTCTGGTTGTACTTGGCATTCACATCAAACAACAAACTGAAGAAACACGGGTGGTGTACCGACTGACGAAATTAAATGAATTGTGAACTACGTATACTATGCTTCACAAACTAGAAATGTAAGAGCAAAGTCTTCTTTTTGTGCTTACAACAGGGACACTCCATGAAATCAACGTGTCACTATCGCCATCAAGTGGAACAAAAACAAAGATGCAAATTTGACCAGTTTACCAGTGACTTTCATAAGTCTGGATATTTCTGACACTATATTCATTGTTATATAAAGCTAATATGGAAAGGATGAATCGCAAATACTCATGTTTTCATGCCATTATTATATACACAGGTGGGTTAATGCCCTGCTAGAAGATAATGGTGGCAACACAAAATATTGACACAGAGTTTGGGTATTTTCACATGATGGTGTACTCACTTTTGTTGCCAATGGACATTAAAGGCTGTGCATTACTTTATTTTGATGGGACAGTAAACTTACACTGTTATGAAAGCTGTACACTGACTGATTTACATTGGAGCAAAGTACCATTTCTTTCGTGTTGTCCCATTGAACGATACATTACATTTATAAAATGGGAAGTGTATACTCACTTTTGTAACACCCTGTACAATGTGTATGTGTTCGAAAATAACTGAATATGTCTCTACTGTATATTCAGTGAATGCTAACAATCTGGACTATTTGCCATCTGCATAAAGAATGTGTTGTTACATTCTATGAAGACATGGTTGGGCTTGGCAAAAGAACAGCTGACTGATGGCTCCTCTGTGGAAACGTCTCACAGTCATGCAGCTGACACTGAAAATGGCTTCTGCTGGCAAACTGGGGGTCGATAGAAAGAGTATCATGGCATCAATGCCAGGATTCTCAGTAATGATTTCAGATTTTCTTCACATATAGCCTAACTGTGGCAAATACATACATGCAGTTGTATTTGGAAAACGTTATCTTCAAGGACAAAGTCATGCACTATAACATTCTTCACAGATTTAATTCTGGAATATGGACATTAACACTTGTGGTTTATATCTGCTTTTGTCCTGGACACACACACGCACACACACACACACACACACACACACACACACACACACACACACACACACACACATACACACACACACACACACACACTAATCATGTGTCACTAGACTAGTGTCACTGGTCTAGCACCTTTCTAATTTTAAGCCTGAGCTTTGACTCTCCAAGAATGGAAGTCCAGCCAGGCCCATCTGTTGCCTAAATTTAGCCTCCGCCAACCCAGAAGTTTTGCACACGTATACACACACACACACAAACACACACACAAATGCATGCACACAAACACTCCATCAGGCACTTTTCACAACTCACAAGTCTTTGCATGCGTCACACAACGTAAACACGCACAGGATTTTCCTTATGTGCAGTACTTGCTGTATTTCCTTTCCTGAATGTAACTTGAAGGTGATGACATTGCTTGGAAATAACCTCAGCCAAATAAGGTGAGTTTCTTATGATTTTTTAAAAATGTATTTTTTTTTTAATCATGCAGCATATTATGTCAAACTGTTTGTGGCTCTAGATAGTATACATCGTATATCATAATTAAATTAATGAATTGTAAGTTCTGCACTCATTTATTGAGGCATTGATAGTTCCGTGCGTAAAGACAACACTGTCTCATGGAGTCGCATTAAATAGCCACAAGCTAACATGACAAATAGATTTTGGTTATTATTCCTACACACATTGTCTGCCTTTGCAGTTGGAAGAGCTTTGACTTGCGCCAGCCTGCGGGTAAATATGGCTGTGGGTCAAGCTGTCGACATGAGTTTGATGGACATCTCCAAGATCTTCTCACTGCTGCAGCCCAAGGAAGACAATGAAGGCAACGAGCTGAGCCAAGCCTTGAACAATGCCGTGAGCAGTGACAACGTCATTGTTCTGTCGAAACTTCTTTCTCAGGAGAGTTACAGGAGGTCTATCAACATTCGAAGCGGGTGGGGGGTCCCCGTCACCCCCTTGCGGACTGCTGCTACTCTGGGACACCTGAGGTGCCTGGAGCTCCTACTGGAGCATGGAGCAGAGGTGAGATACGAAGGAACTCTTTGTGATGTGTAGCACTGAGCTCGGAACGATCCTCACTGATCAAATTTTATTGTTATCGATTTGTGATAGATGCAGACTACTCTACACCAAAGCAACACTTAAATTGTGCACATAGATCTTGCAACAGAAATGTTCAGCAGCTACTTTATTTTAGAGTTAGAATATTGTTGTTGAAAAAAATAATGCTTAATCTTGGAACAATGCGACAAAAACTATTTTAGGTTAATTGAAAAATAAATATTGTCTTTAGGTGTAAATGTGAGTTTGACAGCTTGTTTGTTTGTTTGCCCTGAGTGAGGTGAGCGACACTTCTCGATGTGCTTTGCCTCTCACCAGATAGGTTACATCTGAGTCGCAAGTCCTCGGCATGGGCCGATTACCTGCTTACAGTGGTTTTAAAAAGTCAAGGTTTCAATAACCGCTAACAGTGGCTGTCATGGTAATGAGAAGGAGGAGCAGGGGGAGGGAGGGAACCAGATGAGAGACTGCAAACACAGATGCTCGGATTAGTGTGAATTGTCCTATTAAAAATAAAAAGGGTGCGGGGGGGGGGGCTGTTCTTAGAATAGCTCACCAGTGATGCTGCACTGTGACTTAGTAAGAAACATTAAAATGGAATAATGTTAACGTATTTATTTATTGAAACTGAACATGTTACATGTTTCTTTTGCACTAAATACTCTACATTTTGTTTAAAAATAAAATAGATTGTCTTTGGAAAGAGGTTGTTTCAAAAATATGTCCAAAAAGGTCATTTTATATAATTTGAATGCAGTGCTACCGCAACATTTTTGCTCTTGGTTAACATGCTGTCAGAATCTAATATCGAACCATGCCTACCCGTGACCCTAGTAAGGATAATGGGATGGAAAATGGATGAATAGATCTCGTGTACGGCGGTGAAGAAGAGCTTGCTCTACTACTTTGAGGGGAAATTTTACTTCCTGATGAAGAAAAAAATTAATTCTGATTTTAAAAAATGGTAAAAATTTGTTGACCAGCAAAGTTGATATTTTATACACAGGGCTTCAATATCTTTCTCATATTGTCAATTCAAACTGAACATTGCTATGAATATCTTGATTGAATCGTATTCATCTATTGATAGCGACTCATACATTTTTTTACTTCTGTATTTAACAATGGATGTTTGAAATAAGCATTGCATGGAATGAATCATCAGGTCTCTGTCAAGCTATATTTTCTGGTGTGTTCACGTCCAGGTAGACAGCCTGGACGTGAAGGCCCAGACGCCATTGTTCACAGCTGTTAGTGGCAAGCATCTGAACTGCGTGGTGGCTCTGCTGAAGGCCGGAGCCGACCCAAACGGCAGCCAACACAACAACTGCTCACCGGTGCTGACCGCTGCTCGGGAAGGGGATGCGGACATTCTCCAGGAGCTGCTCCGCTTCGGAGCAGAGGTGGACGTTCGACCAAAAGTACCAGATTGGGCGTCTAATGCTACAGCATGCAGAGGGCCACTTTATATCTCGGCAGTGTATGGACATCTGGACTGCTTTAAACTCCTCCTCCTCCATGGAACTAACCCCAACTATAACTGCACAGATGAGAAGATGCTGGCACGAATAAAGCAGCCGAAGACTGTGCTGGATGTGTGTTTGCATTACGGTTGCGGCGTGGAGTACATCCAACTACTTATAGACTTTGGAGCAGATGTGTATCTGCCTACAGTCATCACTGACAAGACAACAAAGCAGAATGAAGCCTTGGCTCTGCTGCTCAAGGAGAGGGGTAAGACCCAAATGATCATCCATTCATTTTGTCACACACAATTTCAGCTGTCTCTCTAACTGTGAGTGTCTTTCCACACCAGTTTTCCCCAAACCTCTGATGTCACAGACACGCCTGGCAATCCGCAGATCCCTTCCTTTTGCAAACAAAGAGCCTGCCATTGACAGTTTGGAGATTCCTCTCATCCTGAGGAACTACCTCAAGCACAACACTTATGAACTCGCGGGATGCTCCAGTTAGCATCAGAACAACAACAGCAATCGTTCTCATGTCAGTCTTGTTTAGGAAGTCCACCTTTAAATTCAAGGTGCGGACTATATTGTCATGTCCCATCGCTTATGTAACAAATAGGGCTGTCAAAGTGGAAGCGTTAACTTCAAATCATTTTTTAAAAAATGAACTCAGTTATCACATTTTACTTCCTATGGCGGCCAATAATCTCTACTTAGGTGTACAGCCAAACTTAGGCTACCGCGCGGCCATGTACAAACACGGCCTGCAAATAATTTTACTCAGGGTCAGGGTCAGTGGGGAAGTGCACAGCCATTCCAATTTACAAAAAGACTCGCGTTGTCAGAAACTTCTCGTGTACTTTGGCCAGTTCACGCGACTCTATTCTTTCAATTGAAAAGTAGACAGTTTTTGACAGACCAGGTACCAAAAGCACCGCCCACCACTTTAACGAATGCATGAGGAAACCACAGTATCTGGAAAAAGCACAAACATGCAAGAACGAGGAGAACATGCAACCTCCATAAAGAAAGATTGACAGTCAAACCCCAAACCTCACAATCGTGAGGCAGACATTGTAACTGAACAAGTGCTTCGCAACTTTTTACACCAAGTACCACCTAAAAATATTTTTTAGCTCTCCAAGTATCATCATCTTGATTACAGAAGCGCAGTACTGTAGGCCCAAGTGTCAATGAAAAACCAGGCTGAGGCTTCCATCCGAAATAGAATTTCTGTAATAACATTGTAACCCTCTGTAACCATCTGCACAGTTAATATTAATCCAAATTACATCTTACATAATGTGTGAGTGGGGCTGGGGCAATTGTGCAAATTAAAATGTATCCTTAAAAGTTAAGTACTACTTAATTGTACTTAAATGCACTGTACTGGATTTACAGTCATTAATGCACAGTTAGGACATTGAATTAAAGTACAGTAATCCCTCGCTATAACACGGTCCATCTTTCATGGCTTCGCTGTTTCACAAATGTTTTTTCGTGCAGTTTTACGTACAGTAGACTAATATCAACAGTCTCAGACTTTTTGGAGAATTCAATGTTGGAACAATTCGAAGAGGACCTTTTCTGTCCCAATCCAAGGCCTGGTCCACGAAGCCATGGTTAGATGAGTTTGGTATGGAGGAACCCAAGAAGTGCTGGGCCATAAACCCATTTAACGGACTTTGAGGCAGATCTTCTTGTTCAACACAACACTCTTATGGATAAATTGGCCACACACAATCCCAAAAAGCTTGGATTAGTTCAAATGCAGATCCCATGTTTTCCGTTTTGATTTAAAGATGTCCCTGCACTTTAAAAAAGACAAACGCTTTTCATCTGTGCAGTATGTTGCACAACAGCACATTTGACAATAAAGTTGTAGTTGATTTGAATTGACTTCCACGTCCTTGCGAAGTGTAACACCAGTGATGAGCGTTAGAGGTCGCAGTTGCGCCACTCAAGGATCACTTTTGGGACTGGCCAAAGGCAGTGAAGCTGATCTATTTTCGGTTCGTCTTCTGTCACCCTTTGCCATATCTTTAGATTTTGCAAGTATGGTCTCATTCATAAACAATGAAATCCCTTCTTATAACGAGTCACAACTAGAGCAAACCTCCCGAAAACAGACACCCACGCCACATCACGCCAGGATGTCTTAACATCTCGCCTGAAAAACAGTCTTGCATGCGGACTTGAAAAGGAGAAAAAGATAAGCAGTCGGCTGAGAGATGTAGTTGCATAAGTGTCATTACTTATTGATGGCAGCATAGTTGCTATCTGCACTTTTTTGCCGCCCCCCACCAACCACCTGCCCCCACACTTGTCAGCAGCATCACCCTGATGAGGTCAGCGAATACTTGCCAACAGGGGCATAGCGGCTAATTCAGAAATGTGTAGTGTGTGGGACGAGGGCAATAATTGTTCAGGACTACGCCACCATTTTTGAGACAATCTTCGAGCATTCATTCTATCCAAAGAAAATCAAACCGAAAAAAATACTGAAAAAAAATGTAGCGAGAAAATTAAAAGTCCAATGGTAACAGTCAACAACAAATCAAAATCAGCAAAACATTGCCAGCAAAATTATTGCACACAAAATGTAAAGGAAAGTAAAAGGTTTTGAATCGTTTCACACACACACAAACAGTTAGAAATGCCATGTAATCATGTCAAAGGACAGTAAATGTAACACAAAGCACTAAGTCACACACAAATGACCGACACCATTCTGTAGAGGTTTTATTGTCAACAAAAGTACAGCTATACCAGATATGGATTCATTTTGATTTATTTATTATTCATTTATTTATACAGCGAAGTACAACATATTCCCAGTGCTTCTGAATACACCAAAACATATAATGTACATACAGTTGACATCTCCACTCTCCCATTCACAGTTTCTGGATTGAATAGGCATTATTTTTTTATTTCTACATCAAATAATCAAACTCAAAATGCCAGCAAGAACAAAAATGACAAATGTTTGCATATGGAGACGAAGAATTGGGGTCGTCAGTTCATTTTCTGTGGGAGGAAAAAGTAGACCTTGGACGATATGGTATTATACAATGAATTGTGTGTTTCTAAAAGTGGGACGTCAGCCTTCAGCTCACTTTGCTGTCATTGAAAACCACACCTTATATGGCTCATTGGACCCTGTGGTACCCTGACTGTTCGGATGCAACCAAATGACCGTGAGCTGTGTGTCGCCACACTTGTGAGTGCTTTGTACACGCTTTGGAATAAAAATGCCTTCTATGCATTCTGTTGGCTAACTTGGCTGTCTCAGTTCATGACTGTCTAACAAATAGGATAAAAACGATCATCATCAGCAGTCTCGGCCTTCAATAAAAGGTAATGTGAACCACATAAGACCAAGATGTACATTTTTTGAAAAACTTAGCGCCAAAATTATAACACTGGCTACTAATTAAATAAATAGTGAAAAAGTAAAATTGAGAAATTAATCGTTACTGTCAAGATGTTATAATTGAGAGCATTATTTGCAAACAAGTGTATATTATGCATTCTTATGATGTACTCTGTGTGTGGTTTCAGGATTAGGGTTATTTTTAGCACATCCCCAGAGTTTCTATGCATTCAGCTCTTCTGCTGGACTAAAAATCAATACACCACACCTGTGATCAATGCTAACTTCAGTAACGATGTCATAGAAAAATGATACCCGTTTTGTCTCAGATCTGGAGCTCAGCCGTTACTGGTGTACATCCATAAATAACCAGCGGTTATGCCAGTGTAGACTGGAATTAAAAAAAAAGAGAGAAAACATCTAATATTTGGCAAAGTGCCTTATCATTTGATCGATTAAGAGCTCTCTCTGACCTTGTGTGAGGACAAGTTCCTCTCCGCTTCCTGACATGGCATAAGAACAAAAAGGCTACAAGCATAAACGTGACACAAGCAGAAGACAGGTGGCCAAAGACCAGATGTCCCTCTGGTATGATGGCAGCAGAGTTCACAACTGAGTGCTTCATGGCGGAAAAAAATCCCATTGCAGGTGAAATGAATCGAAACAAACCGTAAAGAGTTGTTTTAAGTCTCATGCAAAGTATTTGGATGCCACAAGCATGCATTTACCTGGTACTGAGCTCTACCGTACGTGAGAACTGGAACAACATTCGTTTCCAACGCAAAATACCAATATCCAAATATATGATCTGTTCTTTTTACAGTATTTACAGTTTGTAGCTGATAAAGTTAAAATAGATGACTTTTTCTTATTTAATCCATAACTCATTGCTTATAATATTCTTTGAACAGTATACTCTAACTCGACGAAGCAAAACTAATGATTTCTAATATATATATATATATA